AAACCTAACCCTAAACCTAACCCTAAACCTAACCCTAAACCTAATCCTAAACCTACCCTAAACCTTACCTTAACTTAAATCGTGCTTCTGTCGGCGCACTGTTGTCGGCGCGCTGTTGTCGGCGCGCTGTTGTCGGCGCGCTTCAGCGCTCATTCATTGGTGCAGTTTTGTCACCACGGTTTTGTCACCGCGGTTTAGTCAGGCGCGCTTTTGTCGTTCGCGCATTTGTGGTGGAACCTTGAGATTTTACTCTGGTGATTGTAGCTGTAAACTGTGCTAATACTGAATTTTTTCTCCACCTGCTATGGATGCAGTCCTGAAAATGTATTACAAATGCAAATGTATAAGACAGTGTTTACCTAAAAAAAAAAAAAAAGAAGAAATGCAGTCTTTAGGAGGGCTTCCAGATCACAGAACTTCAGGTGATTCTAAATGACACAAAGTGATACAGAAAACTCTAAAGAATGTCTGTTTAATAATATACCTAATGATATCTACGTATCATTAGGGTAAACATGAGGGTAAAACTGATTTTGCTTCCATTCTAGTGAGGATTTACTCAGTTTGCATTTCTCTAACCTGTATATGAATCCATAGCAAATGGAACAAAAATGCTACCTCGGGAGCTTCAGATATGAAATATTTAAACTTGATCTGTCAATCAAATCAAACCTGCAAAATTTGCAAGACTTGATGTCAGCCCTCCAGGTAAATCAGACAGGAGGCATCGCTAGATGAGGTACATCTAGTTTATTGTAAGGCTATAATAACTTGCCATTTTTAACTACTTAACTACTTAATTCAGTAGGGCTGGCCCTTCTTAAATTTCTTTCTGTGACCATTAAGCCATTGGCTCTTGTCTCTCTTGTCTGATGGTTTCCTCTTCCTCTGATCGCAGAACATCATCCACACATAACATTGTATCAGCCTCCCCTTCAGATTCTTCCTGAGTTCCCAGGAGAAATAGGTTGTGAGTAGTCAGAATAACATGTAGCTGTGTCGCTCCCCTTTTCTCCTGGCAAATCCCTCTACCTCACCAAGCATCCCATAAATCATCTCTAGTTGAGGTGGCAGCTGCCACTCCTACAGGAATGTGTTGACTTCCTGTATCTGTCAGGCCTGCAGCCATCTTTTCTTTTGGGTCTTTGGCTTGCCATACTTTCTATTATTCTGCTATGCATTTTCTATTGTGGGGAAATGGGAGGAGGGATTGTAAGGAGTCACATGCTATATAACCACAACAAAATTCTTTCTAGAAAGCCAAGGTCATCCTTTGTCTCGGCACCTGACTGGAATTGGATGGGTGGAACTGCCAGCATGGCAGTGGAAGATTGGACCCAGTGGTGGGATTCAAATAATTTAACAACCGGTCCTCTGCCCTGATGACCAGCTGAGTAGGCGGGGATCAGTGGTCATGTGACTGGGTGGGCGTGGCCAACTCAAGGTCACTCAGGTCGATGGGTGCTTCACCTTAGCTGTCACAATGTAACAAGTGTTAACT